AAAATAAAAAGGTATAAACTACTAAAAATGCTTAATAACTTGAGTTTGGAATTATTCGCAACCAGCACTTACACTTTTTTTTACTTTTTTCCTTACTTTATGTTAATATTGAGATGACGCAGAAAACTTACGGAGTAGTGAAAAATTTTAATTATGTACAAATATTTGTTCCTGTGGGAATCACCATGTAATTTAAATATCAGAACCTTGTTTTATCAGCTTGACTCACATACCGAAGACATTTAAAATTAAAGGGCTACAGTATAAGGCAGCTAATCGCAAACTATCGCTGATTTTCACTGCCTCGTTTTGTGTAACAGGTTGGAGACTTTTAAACCAGAACTTATCACGCATTGAAGAGGCCACTCTTAGGTCAGAGTACAAAAATAAACAGCTCTTGATCTTAAGGCAGGTGGGAGTTCCTCTATCAACTATCTGGTATAATGTGCTAACTCTTAAGAAGTCACACCAACCTTGTGGTTGTTTATAAAGTTAAATGTTTTGGAGGATTTCATGTACAAGTTTCTGGATGGTGTATGAGTCTAAGACTTGGCTGCTCTAGAGTTTTATCCGCCAGCCCACAACACCTGCAGCTGGTTTACTCAAAATGTCCCATTTTACAAAGATGACACTTTAGCTGGCAGTATCCTGTCAGGTATCTAATGATAGTCCTTAGATCCTCCCAGCTGAAATCTTTAACGGTCGTTTAGAGACACAACTAGAAGAAGCTAAAAATCTATTGGATTAGTTTTTACCCTTTGACAGATGCCAGTGGGTTGCACCTAAGAGTCATCCCACTTCCTCCAAGCTCATCCGTGTATCCATTCAATGGACGACTGAAAGTCTGAGGGCCATATATAGATAGATAAATAAAAGCATTGGTACGTGAAACCGCAGTTAGTGGCGGGTCGTTACGTACCCAGGGAGTAGTAGTAGACATCATTTATGTTTGATTAAATGTTATTCAGTCTGTTAAATAAAAGGGTAGTCGATGAGCCTGGCCTCACTGCGTTCACTCAGTGTCTGAGGGTCATACTAGAGTCCTCATCTGCAATCGACCATGGGTTTTTAGCTTGTCCCTTATAGTTTTGCAAATGTATTCAGAAAGTGAGACATTCCCATTAGTCCCTCTGTTAAGACACTGGCGGGCATCGATTTAAATTGCGAAATTTTTCGCCTGAAATATGGTTATATACGCGGACGTTGGTAAACTTTTCGGAAATCTTGATGCAAATATGCCTGCCCTGAGAGATGATACTTTATCCTAAAGTA